GAGCTGTATTATTTAAAAAAATGGCAAGTTTGTTAAAGTTGCATGCAAAGAAATTTATTTTAAAAGTTAAATATATATAAAAAAAAATCAGTTGTTTTTGTATTTAAACATTAAAAAGACACAGTACAAAACAAGTGCATCATAATCTTCACACACTTGCAAAATAATGGAGTTGGGACTTCCTCTATGTGGTCACCGTCTCTGTAGAAAAAGCAGAACTGAAAATAAATAGTTTTTTTTAAATTGTTGCAATTATTGCTATTAATTATGCTGTTCTTTTCTATGTTAACATCTCTCTTTGGTTTAGTAAAATCTAATAACCTAGACATTTCTCTGGGGTTTACACTTACTTACTCTGGGGTTAATTTCTGCTCGGAGGTTTTCGACGGGCGGAAAGCGAGAACAGCGCCTCACACTTCCTGGACCCGGCCTGCGAAGCTCCGCAGAACGGTTCTCCCATCAGCCAGCGCTCTCAGAGCTTTGAGAACGACACCCGAGGCCCCGCCCCTCAGCCGCTTCCTCGCAGATCACTGGTGAGACCTTAAAAAAATGAAGATCTGTGTATCAGTTCACATTAAACACATTGTTTTGTTTCCCCACTATTTACTGGGCGACGGGTGCACTCTGTTGCCATAAAATAATAATATTTTATTATGTTCTCCAGCCTCGAGGAGCCAATCGGCGAGCTCAGGCTCTGTACGACTGCCAGGCTGACCACCACGACGAGCTGAGCTTCTTCGAGGGTCAGGTGCTGGTGGTCCTGGGACAGGAGGACTGTGACTGGTGGGTACGTATCACCATTCAGCTGATGGGACAGAGACGCTCTCACAACGACGCCTYGGTGGTCTGTGCACCAATAAACTGTTAAATTCATGAAAACCAGAGGTCTTTGAAGTGCTTGAAAAAAATAACTAAGTAAAAGTAAAAATACCTTAACAGAAAATGACTTTGGTAAAAATAAATTTCACAGATGAGAAAAGTACTTAAGTAAAAGTCATAAAACGGTACATAATAATTGGGAAAGTAAAAGTACTTTTACACACTCTCTAAGAAATAAATTGTGGAATTTACTTAACCCCTTAGCAGTTTTTGTTCTGCTGGTGGGCAAAAATGCTTCACTTTCTGCCTTTAAACCTTTCCAGACACTACCGGGGGCTTTTATTTTGAAGACTAGGGTGTCAGACAACTTCCTCTGGTTCTTAGTTTTAGTTAGGCACCTTAAAAAAATGCCAAAAGGCTTTTTCAGGGGCGTCTGTTAAGGGGTCAACCCAGGGGTCTACAACCTTTACGATCAAAAGAACCATTTGTGCTCCTTGTCTCACTAATAAAATGTGTCTGGAACTGCCAAACAAGCTGCAACTGTGATTATCATGTAGTGGTCCGTGGGCCTTTTCGAGGCCTTTTTGGGAACCTTTACGGTCAGTGGAGTTGACATTATAA